CCATCTAAGGTCCAAATCGCTAAAGCTCCCTAAAGGTCGACCGAATGCAATTGGCCGACCGATCACTCATGCCTCGACATAAACGAATTCCATAAGGGCCGTCTCATCGATCGATCAAACTAGAACATGTCAACCAGCTGATTACCGTCATATGCAAATTCAAATTATAATATAAATTTAATATTAAATCAGCACATTGATCACATTAAGAACAATTTCTATAATCATTCTCTCTTTTGGTAATTGAGGGCTATTTTCATAATTGCTATCACTCTTCTCTAACTGTACAAAAGGTCTCCTACAAATAGGAGGCTCGACAGTGAATAAAGGGGTCCCCGATCTGAGGACTTTTCCACAGCCTCTCTATTAAGAATTTCTAATACTTTTCTTCTCTCTTTACTTCTTCTCCTAGCTCAAACTCTCGAGACATGTATTTCCAAAATAAAATTCCAGATCCAACATTCTAAAAGGTGGTCTGTTAAGCATGCACATGCCCCAAATGATAAGTGGAGCCAACTATGAAGGAGAATTGTTGCAAAGAGAAATAGCACCCATGGAGTCCAATGCAGAGACGGTGCACCAAGACATACAAAAAGAAGTCCAGGTATTGTGAGCGCAAATAATTGACCAGTTCGAGGCTCTTCAGGCGGCCATGACCCGACAAAATGTCCGCACGCAGCCCATGGAGGGAGAGTCTCGAGAAAATCACCCTCAGAAGTCTCACCTTCCCTATTGTTGTCCCAAAGATCGACCAATCAAAGGAAATGAGGATTTTCAATCGATAGATAGTGCCCGATCTATGCCGACAGTCCAATATAGGGCAGATCGTGTGGGAACGTTTGCTCAACCAGCTATGGGTAGCTCTTTCTTCTGAAGAATCTTGGAAGCCATACCCCGAGTGAAGCTCGGGATTCCCCACTTTGATTCTTATCAAGAAAAGAGTGGTCCGACCAATCTAGCTTCTTTTGAGTCAACGGTAGGAGTCATGTAGATCGATGATGCCATGAAGTGCTGGTTGTTCATGATCACATTGAAAGAAGTCGTGTTCTGATGGTTAAACAACCTCCTATATGGGATCATTTCATCTTTCTTCGAATTCTGGAAGCTCTTTCTTGCACACTTTGCTGATGTGCAAAAACAAAGGAAGGATACAAAGACCTTGCTTTAGATTAGGCAGGAGGAGAATGAAAGCCTACAGGCTCACATCACTCGTTTGCAGAAGGAAATGCTGGAGGTGAAGAATTTGGAGCCTCTCATCGCCCATATCGCCCTGAAGCAGGGGATTTACAATAAGTGATTCAGGCATGACCTATACCTACTCAATCCAAGGACCTTCGCAAAGGTCTTGGAGTTAGCAAATGACCACATCGCCAGTGAAGAAGACCTTATGGAGTCCTCGAAAGCTAAACTAAGAGCATCTGAATATCGATCGCAGAAGCGGAAGGGTCGGGATGGTGATAGAAAACCAAAGGGCGATCAAGCCTCAAAGAATTGAAATCCTCTGACGATCGAAAGCCTCTGACGACTGACAAACTGATAATTATCGATCTCAGGATGACTGAGGGGGGACTGAAGCAGCAAGGGTCGGTGATACCATCTTGACTAGCAGTTAGTTCAGTACTATGAGCGACCACATGTATATTGAAGATGCAAGGATCGCCACCACTGAACATGTCGATGACCAAGTTAGTTCAGACCATTCAAAAATAAGGACTACTTAAAGAAGGCCCCCTACCCAGCTGAAGGCAACACTTGAGCTACTCAAATAAAAAAAATACTACACCTACTATTGAGACCATATACACGACATGAAGGAATGACGCCACCTCCAAATTTTGTTGGAGGAGCTTATCAGGGCCAGAAAGTTGAAGGAGTTGGTCATTATTGGACACACACATAATGACAAGGGAAGGCCCCAACAGAGGAGCACACGGATGGACCAGTGCAAGCGAATGAAATCCACCTGGCTAAAATCATCTCAGCCTTCTTCGGTGGAGGCTGAGGTTTACCACGACCGTCTAGCTTATAAAAGCACAGGTTGGGAGAGGTATGTTTTGTCACCTGTCACACTCATACTCACCCCCCAACTAATTTCACAAATGCAGATCTCACCCTAAGGGGAAACCCATACAATGAGGCAATCTTCATTACGACACTTATAAACCACTAATAGGTGGTTAGCTTCTTGTTCAACATCAGAAGCTTAGTAAATATCCTGTTCAAATTAGCGTTCGACAAGTTGGGACTCAAGGCTAATTGATTGGCGACGACAACCGACCCACTGTTTGACTACTTGGGTGAACAGAAGGAGGCTATAAGGTGATCACCCTAGTCTTCTTATGAAGAGAGTGAGAAAAATAGTTAACCAATATAGAGAATTTTCTGGTGGTGGAATCCCTTTTGACATACAATGCCATCTTTGCCCAGCCGTTTTTGAAATGCTACCAGGCAGTAGCTGTGACATACCACGAGGTTGTAAGATTTTTCAGAGACGGAAATATAATCACGGTCTAAGGAAACCTGGAACAATCCATAATTTGTTGCATGCGAGCTATACCTAACATCGATCGTGGACCGCTAGACATTCAAATACAGGGGGAAGGAGGTCTCCAGACCAGTGAGGCCATCCTTTGAGTGCCTCCCACCAATGAAGGAGAACCTGGTAAGGTTTTTCTAATTAGTGAAATTTTTTATGCAGGACACATGAATCTTGTGATCGAGATCCTTCACCAACATTGGGAAGCTTTTGCCTAGATAGCCATAGAGATGCTTGGAGTCTCATCAACGTTGCCTGCCATCGACTCAAATTCAGCCCATTTTCTCGACTTGTGCAACAAATGCTTCAATCGATTGTGAGAGTCCTTATTGAGCCAATATCAGTAAAAATTCAAAAGCTGATGGAGGCGGGCTATATTCTGGAAGTATAATATCTGACTTGGTTCTCGAACGTGTAATGGTTCAAAAACTCAACAAACAATTGGAGGATGTGTGTTGACTTCACCAATTTGAATGCAGCTTGCCCAAAATATACCTACCCCATGCCAAGAATCGATGCATTGGTGGACGTCGCGGTTGAATACTCCGTCATGAGTTTCCTCGACGCCTTCTCCAGCTACCACCAAATGCATCCGACCAACACAGAAAATGCGTCTTTCATTACCACACAAAGAATGTCGTGTTTTAATGTAATGCCCTTTAGGCTGAAGAATGCTAGGGCGACCTATCAACACCACATGAATGTAATATTTTCAAATAAAAAGGAGAAAATATTGAAGCCTATGTGGATGATGTTCTTGTAAAAAGCAAATCAACTGAACAACTCATAGAAGACCTACACAAAACCTTCAAAACTCTAAAAGAATTGACATGAGACTAAATCCTTTTCAATATACCTTCATACCATCGACCGACAAGTTCTTGGGTTTTTTTTAACTCTCGAAGGACTAAGACCCAATCCGAAAAAAAATACAAGAAATATTAGATATGTCATCCTCTCAAAGCATCAAAGAAATACGAAGTCTGACTAACCGAATCGTGGGACTCAGTCATTGTATTCCAAAATTAGGTGACAAATGCACAACATTCTTCAGGGCACTTTGGAAATACCAGTGATTTTACTAGACTTTCGAATGCAAGGAAGCAATCAAAGTTCCACAAAATTCCTTAGTATCATTCTCACTGCTCCAAAGCCCAAAACAAGTGGAGGAACAATCAGTGTACCTCGGAGTAGAGCAAGAAACTATAAGCTCAGTTCTAGTCAGAGAAGAAATGGGGAAATAATTCTCAGTCTATTACATGAGTTGAGTACTCCATGGAGATGAAACCAGACACCCGATTATGGAGAAACTAATTTTTACTTTGATCATCTCTGCACACAGGCTACAATCATATTTCCAGGTGCATTCAATCCAGACCATCACAGATCACTTGCTAAAGTCTATGCTCACACGATTGGAGCACTTAGGACGACTGCTAGAGTGGATGGTGAAGCTCGGTGAATATGACAACACTTATATCCCTCGAACGACCATGAAAGCCTAGGTGACTTTATGACAGATTTTTCCATGTTGAAAGAATCAAATGAAGTAGATTTTCGAATGAAGTAGATTTTAACGACTTCGTACAAGAGTTGGATGGAGTCGTTAAAAATCCAAGGCATTTTAAAATTAACTTTGCTATATTTGATGATCGAATGAAAGCTCTTCAGGCGATCAGTTACTTCGGTATACCTGAGGTGCTTAAGAGAAGATGGAGCACAATATGTCCTCCGAGACTTGCACTCCAAAGTGTGGCACTCACTCCAGGAAACTGTTAGCCCATTGGGTGCATTTGATTAAAAATGAAAAATATGAGCTTGGATTTTACCATGAATTTTTATATGTAAGTGAGAATTTGAAAAATGGTTGAAAAAAAGGTGATTACTTTATAAATAACAAGTTTCGGGTGGACTTATATGTAATTGCCCAAAATTTTAATCATTAGCTTTTTCCATGATATTTTGTTCGGAAAAGGTCACGTTGTATAACTATAAGAAATGTTCCATAAAAATAAACAAATAAAAAAATCTTAAATTGACAACTTCAAATTGCGCGGACAGCTAAGGTTACTGCGTACGGGCTAGAAGCCATATCACCGGTATCACCGGTCACCGGCTGCTAAAGTATCACCGGTCACCGGCCATCTTCTTCCCTTTATATAGAAGGAGCCTGTTGGCGTTCCGTAATAACTGGATAACGAAGAAGAAGAAGAGGAGCAGAGGAAGCCGCCCGATAGTAGGATTTCGAATCCATCATCTTCAGCATATTCAATCCAGTGGTGTTCTTCTCTTTCTCAAGGGTGGAGATGGTAAGCGATCTATAATCCATTTATCTCTGTTTGATGCCTTCTACATTTATGTGGTTGGGGGGATCAGAAGCAGAAAGTTTGATGGCTTCTGCTTTGATTTGCAATTGGCCATGCAGAAAGAGGAATTCAATGAGATTGTAGGTGAGGGGACAGTCGGCAGCGGCAGCCGAGGCTGCAGGATAAGACGAGGAAGATGAAGGTGAGGTTGGCGAATAAGGGTTTGGGTTACGGAGAGGCGATGTTGAATGTGGATCGATGCTTCTCCTGCACCACCTTTAATATTCTCGCGCCTATTTACAAACGGCTTGACAAGGAGGTCGGGGATCACTATTTTTTGCCTACTTTTTGTCTTCTTCTTCTTCGTCTTCTTATTCTTCTTACTTGCTTTTTAGTTGATGGTTTTTTAGTTGGAGAAAGGAGGGCGTTTTGTTTCTTGGTTATTTGTTTACTTGCTATATTGATTCTTGCTGTGATTTCGTTGTGAAATAGGACCAGAGTTGCAGGGAGAGCCAGTATAGGGCGTACTGGTTGAACAGGAATCAGAGCATCATTGATCGATTGCTGGACGAAAGGTCTTCCATTATTTGTCTGCAGGTGGAATATCGATTCTTTCTGATTTCGGATTGCGGTTTATTTGTGGTTGGGAAAATTTTCGGTATCTGATTCTGTTTTTGATTGAATTGTTACAGGAGGTCTGGTTAGGGAACGATGAACTCGTTGAAATGTATGAAAAGAGGCTGGGAGATGCTGGTTACACGAGTTTCAAACTTCCCCGCACAAATAATCGTGGAGATGGTATGTGCGTTATTATTTCCATTTTTTTCGTTGGAATTCTTTCTTGAAATTGTAAGTATGGAGGCTGAATTTTGATCTCTTGACCAGTGCTTGGTGCTTCAAAGTTTAGAAGTCTTTTTGTTTGGGTTACTTCATTGAAAATATCAAATAGCATTTGTGAAAGGAGGAATATGCAAATTATGATTTTTATGGGGTTCTAGTAAATGATGTTTTAATTTTTTCTGGAGACTTTTTTAAAAAAATTTCTAGAGTATTTGCAAACGGTTAAGTTGAATAGTATTTGTTGGTGAGTTCCTACTTAACTGTTTGTGAGATTTCATTTCCATTTTCATCATCACAATGAAGAAATCTCAATGTTAGAAAAGTAAAAGTTTCTATTTGCAGCTTGTCTCCTTTGAAAGTTCCATAATAATCATCAAACTACTGCAATCTTTGAGGTGAATACCACTGTTTTGGATTTCATATGCACTCTGCTTTAAAGCTTTAAACCATTACTATAACTTTTGAGGATTTAATTTCTTAACAGGTACACAGTACTTGTTGTTACGTTAATGAGTCAGTAGTGATAAGATTGTGTTAATGAATCGGTAGTGATAAGATTGTGTTTTGTATGAAGATCAATCTTTGCTGCTTAAATCATTTTCTCCCAAGATAATTATTCATTTTGTGTTGCTTAGCCAACTGAATCTAGGGAGTTGTTTAGACGCATAAACAATATATAGTCTCAAGTGTTTCTGCTTTTCCTTCTCTGCAGGTTTACTTACTGCCATACGTAGAGACTGCTTTAGGGTTCTTAATTATCGGGAGATGCTCTTCAATGACTTTGGAGATCGTGTTGCTCAGCTTTTACATGTTGAATCAGTTGTTCCTTTTTGGCAAAGTAGAAATTTTAACATCCCACAAGAAATTATCATTGTGAATACCCACTTACTGTTTCCTCATGACCACACACTGTGTATTGTTCGTTTGCATCAGGTACACTTTATTTGTTTTGTTATTAAATTGGAAGATTTACATACATTCCACTCAATTCTTATGTATTATCTAACACCTAAACTTCAATTTTTACATACATTCCACATTACCTATAGATGAAAAGGGGTATTTCACCTTTTAAAAGTTAAAAAGGTGTTATTTTTTATTTGGTGTGAAAGATTTAGATGGTATTAATGCAGAGAGTATATTTTGAATGTTAGATATGTAAGTACATAGTAATTGGGTGGTTTGTATGCAAATACCCCAGATTATGCACCTTGTCATTTAAAACGCTCTTTATATTAAACTTTGGTTTACTTTGTTTTATTGATAGGTATGCAAAATCGTTCAATTTGTGGAATCTTATCAGAAGGAACATATGCTTAGCCCTCTGCCAGTTGTACTCTGTGGGTCAGTAGAACAGTTCACTTTGCAATCTTCAAGATAATCAGCTTGAATCAAATATCTGAATGTTTTATTGATTGCAGCGACTGGAATGGAAGTAAGCGGGGCCATGTTTACAAGTTCCTTAGGTCTCAGGGTTTTGTTTCTTCTTATGATGTTGCTCATCATTATACCGATAGTGATGCAGATGCCCATAAGGTAGAATTTGAAGAACGCATTTGTCTGCTACCTTAATAATACTATAAAGTATATATTTTACTCGTGTTTGTATTGACTTTCTGTTTTTTTTTCCTGTCAAAAGTGGGTTAGTCATCGAAATCATCGTGGGAATATTTGTGGGGTTGACTTCATCTGGCTTCTGAATCCTAATAAGCAGCAGAAGCCCCTAAAGATTAGCCGGAATGAAGCTGTATTTGGGATTATGAAGGTTAATAGCTTGTCTCATTTTTATTCTTCTTCCGTGTCTTCTGTTGCCTGCATGTCTTTTTCTGGTGGCCTGAGTGCTCTTGAACCTCAGCTGTTATAAGAATAATAATTGTTTTTCGTATTTCTGCTTGTTGAAGATTTTTACAAAATTTTGCCATCTATTTCTCCCACCTATTTTTGTTGGCTGCTTTCATATTTTATATATTCAACAATTAGATGTTATATGTTTTTCCTTCTCTTTCTGCAGGCTAACTAAGACATTCTTAGGCATTTTCAAAGTATGAGCCAGCATTTTTAAATTCTAACTCTCGTTGATTGATACATTCAACCTAGGAACTAACCTCAGTTTCTTCTTGTCTCAGTTTCTTCTTCTCCGCCATGCTTCTCTTACAGAGGATAATGCATTTGCTTTTTTTAAAGCAGACAGTCCTGGAGACTCTATTACTTTTGATGGTTTCTGTCAAGCACTGTGTCAGGTACAAAACATTTTTTATTGGAAAATGATATTTGAAGTATTAGAAAGTTGCAGCTAACACTTCTTATCTGAGACAGTTAGGCCTTACTGGCCATCCAAATGGCCTCAGTGTTGAGGAGGTTGAAGATTTGTGGATCCAAGCTGACGTTGATGGAGATGGTGTTGTGAACTATGGAGAATTTGTGGTATGCTTATGCTGTCAATATGAGTTAAACAGCTTATAACAGAGCTCTTATTTCATTTTATATGCATGTGAACTTTTGGGGATGATCTTTTTTGATCAAATTTGACACTTTACAGCAGCGGATTTGGAATCTGGCATGTTTAGAGAATTCTGAGCAAGCAGGGGACAATGAGAAGAGCGACGGAACTAATAGCAAAGGCTCTGATAGCCAGAACTTTGGCTTTGATGTGAAGAATGCAGCTCTTTTTCCACCAGAAATGGAGAAAGGAATGTGGCCCGAGGACTACTCCCTTTCGGATCATGCTCCTCTTACTGTGGTGTTTTCCCCTGTAAGAATGTTTTGCTCTCAATCTGTTTGCTGAACTACTCTTTTGACTAATGGTTTTCAAATCTTAGCCTGTAAAGTTTGTAGAGAATGATTTTCTGCTGTTATACAATGATTTAGGGGTACATGTGAATGAAGAGTAGATACCTCTGTGAATTTCTTATTTTAGAATCAACTGTTGGCGATTTGGCAGGCTACATCTTGAATAAAATGTAAAATGATGTAATTTTGCCTTGCTTTGAAAGATTGAAAGACATGCCAACTCCCTTTGAAGGTGGCTTTTGTATATTTCCTTTTTTTATGAGTCATATTATGGTTAGATTCATTGCATATGAATTTCAAATATAAATGAATGTTGACCTAATATTCAACAATAGATTTGTATGGCCAATTTGACTCGCCCAAATTTCTTATTTAGAACAAATTATTTTTTTTCCCAACACCCTCAGAAGGACAGAGAATGTTGACATGTTCTTATTAGAGGCATCACTATCCTAACCATATCTTTTTAGATTGTCAATAGCTAAAATGTTGTTGGACAAACACATATGCTTCTTTGGAATAAAAAATTTTAAGATCATAGGGACTTGCAAATTCACCTATTCATCAAGGCTATGCAACCAAATGACTCAATTACACATCTAGAGTACTAGTAAGTCAACTAAGGTCAGCTTTGGCCCCCTTGCTATATGGTTGATAGCACAACCTATTCCTATAGTATTCTTATAATTATGTCATGTAGAATATCATGTTCAAGCAACCTTAAACCCTAATTTAAATAGATCACTAATCGAGCGCAATTGAGACAATCCAAAACTCAAATTTTCATCTAACAAAAATCATTCTAATCTGGTGCCATACTCTCTTTTAAAGCTACGCGGCCTATTCTAGGAATTCTCTTAAACTTGAGTCTCCTTCTCCATCTAATTTTTTAGCTTCATCTATATTTGTAAGAAATTTGGTATTTTTCATTGACAACATTGATGGCTTGTTTGGGTAAACTACGTTTTGGCAACTTATGTGTTTTCAAAACGCAGAAAACAACATTTTTACACCGCACCTATCTGAGAGCTTATTGACAACGGTCTGGTTTTTCCAAAAAATAAAAATAAAAATTTGTAATAGCAACCGCACCTAGCTTATCAGCAGATTATTTTTAATCAATTTATCAGCAGATTATTCAATAAACTATAGTTACCACAAACAGATGCTGAATCCAAAACTTGGTATATTAAAACCATGAATAAATTTCTAGCCAATGACTTCCTTCAATCTCAAATGACAAAAACTTAAAAATAACATCACTTCATTTATCTCATTAGATGGAGAATCAATCTATGAAGATTTAGGGAGATTTTAAAAGCTATTTGGGAAATATCTCCATCACGTCTTTATTAGATTGCTTCGTAATAATATCTCCATCACGTATTATCAGATTGATTCATAATTCGAACATTTTCTAATAGGCTAATGAGATCGTCAAAAGCCATTTGAAGACCATATGAAAGAAAGCTAAAATTTGTGACTAAAAGTAAAAAAAAAGAAGATTTATATATATACTAATCAATCATTTGTATTTACATATTTAACACACAGAACTTCAATTGTTATGTATATGCCATCTTACCAATGGATGAAAGGTGTATTTTACCTTTAAAATTTAAGTGATTTATTTTTTTGTGATATAAAAGATTTTGATGTTATAAATGTAAATCGGAAAGTTTAAGTGTTAGATATATAAATGCATTGGAAATTGATGATATATATGTAAATGCCTCTACTGGCTAAAATAATAAAGAAGAAAACAGCCTTTTTCAAAAAACAATGGGCCAAAGTAAAATTAAATCTTTTACAATACTAGTTTGGGCTGTAATGCAAGCCCATCAACCTGTGTTATTGTTGCCATGTAACATGAGAGTGATTGGGCTTTTTTAATCATCCTCTTTTAAGATTGCATGTGCCACATGCTGACAGCATGATGTGATCTTATTTTAATTATATATATATATAAAGTTGATGTATTAATGTTTCAGTTGCTTGATTATGTGATTGATATGGCATGATAATCAAAATGAGGATAATAATAAAAATAAGGATGATTTACATACATACCACTTACTTCCTATGTATTTACATAACATACCTAAACTTCAATTTTTAGACGTTTAACATTTTATCCATGCATGAAAAAGTATAGTTCACTTTTTTAAAATCAAAATAACTGTATTTTTTTAATGTGATATGAAATATTTTTGCGATACAAATGCAAAAATGTAAAGTTTAAGTGTTCTACGTGTAAATATGGCTTATTCGCTTTTGAAATATTAAGATGTGTTGAAGATTCATATCACACTTTAGTGTCCTAAACGATACAAAAATCTTTCAAAAGTATTTATTCGCCAATTGATTATACTTCTCTAATAGTAGTATGTCAATATCAAGAAAGTGTATGTAATGCTCCTTCAAAAGTCCTAGATACTAATAAGTTTTAACATATCGAATTGATAATTTAAAACTAAATGAAGCATGCAAAGTTAACACATCAATAAATCAAATTTAAAACCAAATAGATCTTGAATAGGCAAAAATTATGACACAATCACTAGCCCAAAGGTGTTTGAAACTTAGTTTCACAACATGACTACATTCAACATTTGAAAAATAATCAAATCAAAACACGAAAATATAAAAACTAATAAAGAAAATATTAGATATAATATTTGCTTTAAAACTTCCCGACCCTTCACAAAGTTCCTTTTAAATGCTCTATTATACATTCCTTGCTCATGTCCTTACACACTCAGATAAACTACATGCACATGTTGTCGAAAGTTTTCCCAACCCATTATAGTACTTTTATAAAAAACATTTCAACCAAAAACATTCCCGCCCTAGAAGACATTATCCCGCCAATGAAGGTGTTTCAGCTTCTTCAAAAGAAGATCGAATGCGTAGAATGGAGGAGTCTCAACTAGAGATCCTACAGCTCCTACGCAGGGCTCAACAGCCGTTGCCTACACCATTGGATGAAATTCATTTACCGTTAACTTCGCGACGTACGAGAAACATACCGCTCGGAGGAACTCATGTCGGCCCACCTCCTCAAGAAGAAACACATCTCCTATCAGGTCGTGATGCACAACATGACTACATTCAACATTTGAAAAATAATCAGATCAAAACACGAAAATATAAAAACTGATAAAGAAAATATTCGATATAGTATTTGCTTTAAAACTTCCCGATCCTTCACAAAATTCCTTTTAAATGCTCTATTATACATTCCTTGCTCACTTCCTTACACACTCAGATAAACTACATGCGCATGTTGTCGAAAGTTTTCCCAACCCTTTATAGTACTTTTATAAAAAAACATTTCACCCAAATTCACTTCCAAACTATCAGTACAAGAGAACAATCATCTTATGTCAATTTGTGGCATTAAGATGCTCCAATGTATACGGGGGAATTGTATTATTGGTGCCATGGTGTTGAGCTCTATAATTTATGAAAAAACCCGGATCAAATCATTAAACTATTATTAGAGTTTTCTGACATATTTAGAAAGTTGAACGAATATCGAATCTAGCGAGTTCATTGTCGAATCGAGCGTCTTGATAAGAAGAATCCAACGAGCCCAATATTAAGACACTCAAATGTCCATCAAACGTCATCTAATCAAAAGAAGCTCTTCGGACCGTCTGAACAAAATGGTTCATATTCCTACATTAATTACACTCAAAAGAGGATTAAAAGAAAACTTAAGGCTTTGAGAAGGAGCTCAAGTCCAAGATCATCCTCGTCATCGTCGATCGCCGTCAACCACCACTGACCGTCGACAACCACCGCTGACCACCGCCGACTGTCATCGATTTGTCGTCAACTACCGTCGATTACCGCCGACCTCCATCAACCACCACCGTCACCCGCCGCTTACTGGACGTCGTCAGTCGACGTTGTAATTTGGAAAGCTAGTAACCCTTTTTCGCCTGTAGGATGTCATTGTCGTCGTCGTAGAGTGAATTTTTACAATTGGGTCAGACCCCGTGGTTTTTCCCCTTTACGGGTTTTCCATGTAAAAACTTCTGGTGTTATCACAACTTGATTCATTTTCATCTGAGTGTGTGTTGAATCCTCATGCAAGCTAAGACGATAATCCATTACTCTACTGCCACGAATTTTCTAGCACGCATCAGTTTGGCGCCGTCTGTGGGAACGTTTCAATCCCACAAATAAAGTACTTACACATTCTACCTCATGGCCACCGGACACAATGTTCGTGACAATGGAGCATCCCGCTCCAACACTCATCGTTCTAGGGAGCAGTTACGAAGTCAAGGGCAGCATGCTTCTTCATCTTCCCGCCCTGGAAGACCGTAGAATGGAGGAGTCTCAACTAGAGATCCTACAGCTCCTACGCGGGGCTCAACAACCGCTGCCTACACCATTGGGTGAAATTCATTTACCGTACCATTAACTCTGCGACGTACGAGAAACATACCGCTCGGAGGAACTCATGTCGGCCCGCCTCCTCAAGAAGAAACACATCCCCTGTCAGGTCTTGATGTTGAACTCCTAGATACAGCAAGCTCCACTCATCCATCTCGTGCAGCTCACCCGACATCGCCACATCTAGATAATGTCATTCGTAATGAACTACGACGCCTCGTCCGGGAAGAGTGCCCCTTAGAGAAAAAGGATCGCTTCTACGCTCACCATAACATCTTTGAATCTTCTTCCTTAGCAGATGCGGTGCTCCAACACCCAAACCCAACAGACTTTAAGTTTCCGAGCATCGATACATATGAAGGGACAACTGACCCTTACTAGCATATTGATCATTATCGAACTATCATGCACATTCAACGTGCACGTGCCTCTGATGCGCTTCTGCGCTTCTGTGTCAAGTGTTTCCAGCTACTCTTAAAGGACAAACTCGAACTTGGTTCTACTCTCTGTCGAGGGGCATTACAAACACCTTTAACAAGCTTGCAAAACTATTCGCGGAGCTCGCGAAGCAGTTCATTGCAAATTGAAGGATCATCAAGGATTCATCCCATCTCTCGAGAATTCGTCAAA